AACTTTTTCAGAAATTAATTTTCCTATGATTTTTTTCTTCTTCTTCTTCTCTTTTTTTTTTTTTTTTTTTTTTTTTTTTTGTCACACAAACAGAGCCCTAGTGAAGCAAATTTTTCCAAGGGTCCGAACAAAAGCTTTTGTGCAAACGTGCTTGAATTGTACCCTTATTAGCATGTTTGTTAACCCACGTAAATTTGTTTCCTTCAAACCCTAGGTCCAAGACTTTTCACATGTAGAAATACAATCATTCAAACCCTACTCTATGTCTTATTTTGTCTATTTTAAAGCTTTTAACCGAGTCTTTGAAATAAAAATAACAGTGAAATCTCTGAAGGCACAAAATTATGCAAAATATGAATTGTTGATGTCGTTCTCTAGGCCACAACAGTTCCAAGATAACATCCTTATGGCGCAGTCCCTGCCTTTTCTAGAGGGTGAGAGTGCTCTCTGTTTCTCTTACTTGTAGAATCGTAATTAGTGCCATTCATCAAAAAAGTCTTCGAAGCTTTACGTTTTCCAGTAAGGGGTAGTAAGGTTTCAGAGGGTGAATTATGAAGTTCTTTAGCTAATTTCTTCCAAGTGCCAAAGTCTGTGACAGGTTTAGAAAAATCAATTTATTCAGACAGGGCAGTGTTTTCAGTTTCTTTTATATCGATATGTGAAGTTGATATGGGGATGGTAAAAAGGTTTGTGTTAGAGCTATGACTTTGGTGGGGGTAAGTGTTGTTTCGTGATAGGATTACTTTTGGAAAAATTTGGGCTAGGGTGGGTAAGTTGTAGGGGTAGAGGGCGTGTTAAGTGTGGTGGTGTCTTGTTGGGTTAGAGAGAGGGGGAATAGGGCCTATCGGAGATTGTAGAATGGGTTGGTTCCTAGGTCTTCGGGCCTAGTGTGGGAGTTTGGGCGGGATTGGGCGTGGGCTATCATTTGGGGTTGATGTTGAGTTTGCGTGAGGCTGGACGTTTGGTTCAGGAATGTGGGTAGAGAGAGTGGGCTGTAGTTCGGCGTGTATGGGTATGGTAGGTTTTTTGGTGGTCTGTTCAGGGCAACAATTTGAAATGAATTTAAGCCAGCGGAGGAGGAACCTGGAGATTTCATTTGTGCTAGCAATAATTGCTTATTATTTATTTAAGATAGAGAAAACTGAAAATTCAAGCCCAACCTTTGATTATTATTATTATTATTATTATTTAAATGCTTCACTTTTTTTATCTAACTTTTTTTTAACATTTGAATTCAAGATATTAACTATTAGATAATGCCATGACCTATCTATTAATATATGACCAAAAAATAGATTTCACTTAAAATAATTGAAAAAAAATAAAAATAGTAAAAAATTCGAATTCAAACTTGAATAGGAGAGAAAACTTCCACTCAAAACACTACCTTGTCTAAAAGAGCGAGAAGAAACATCAATGGATGACCAATAGGAATCGTAATAGATTGGGTCAGGGTAGGATGGAGCCCCACTTACCCCAACCTAGAACATCATCATCCATCCTCTAATGATCACGCCAGAGAGGGTGGATGACCAATAGGAATCGTAATAGATTGCCATCTACCTGGACGAGCGACACAATAAATAATCGAGAACGATGACTATTGAACCACCACTTCAGGAATTGAATCCATAGCTACCTTTCCATTGCAACACACACACACATATATATATTAGTTCGTTGGATGGCTAACCAGCTTTTTATCCTTTAACTCATATCCTAATAAGACAAAGTGAATCTCAACTATTATTAGTCCTATAGATACATAAGGCGTTCAATAAAAATTACAATAACTTACGGTTTTTATTTTATGACAAACTAAATAAGAGAGAGATCCTTTTAACGATAAAGATTGAGCGTAAGAAATCCCCTACCACAACACCAAAATTGCCACAATGTAAAATGAATGTCATTTTTTTATGACCTAGTTGAGTTGAGAAAAAAAGAGTTTGACGTGTAGATTTACTAGGTTGCTCCCAACCATACCATACGTCATGCAAAAGAAGTAGATGACATTGATTACTTAATTGCACATTCTTTGTCGAAGGCTCCAAATTTTCACTAATAAACTTCTTCTTCATGTTTGTAATTCTTGACAGTTTTCTTTCTAATAAAAACAATAAGTTCCATGGAAAATTTGGTTCATCCTATATTTCAATTTTCATAGCTTTAAAAAAGAAATATATGTACTTGACATTAAAAAAAAATGAGTGCAAAGACCTATGAGTGTCATACTCTCAAAATTTTCTAAGAGACATGTCCATTTATCTATGCTACACCCCGACTAGGTCATGAGCTTTTTATGCTCAATCTTTCTTTTTCATGGTGATGTCATAATCATCTGGCCAAGTTGCGCAATAGCTAGGCCATAACATTTTTTATGGTCAATCATTTTTTATGACAATTCTATGTTCATCTAGCCAAGCTACATGTTGGCCATGCCAAGAACGTTTCATGTTCAATTTGTCTTTCCGATGACAAAAATAAGTCTATCTAGCCAAGCTCTTAGCTTTTCATGCTCAATCTTCTTTTCTAATGTCAATATCATGTTTATCTAGCAAAGTTATGCATTGTTCAAGTGGTGAGCTTTTCATGCCTAATATTTCTTTCTAATGGCAATGCCATGTTTATCCAACTAAGCTACATGCTCATCGACCCATGAGTTTTTCATGCTCAATTTGTCTTTTTTGATGGCAAAGCTATGTTCATCTAGTTGATTTGTGCGTTACTCAAGCTATGAGATTTTCATGCTCAATCTTTTTTTATGATGGCAACCCTATGTTCATTTGGCCAAACTATGTGTCTGGTCAAGTCGTGAGTTTTTCATGCTCGGTTTGTCTTTCTAATGGGAACGCCAAGTTCATATGACTAAGCTCGTGAGCTTTTCGTGTTGAGCTTTTCTTTCGATGGTAACATCTTGCTTATTTGGTCAAGTTATGAGCATGTCATAATTAGTTTTTTTTTTTTTTTTTTATGGCAACACTATGTTCAACTAGTTGAGCTATGTGCTAGCCGAGCTATTAGCTTTTCATGTTGAACCTTTTTTTCAATGCAACATCATGTTCATCTAGTCAAGTTGTGTGTCGGCCAAGTTGTAAGCTTTTCATGCTTAGTTTATCTTTTTGATGGAAACATTATGTTCATCTAACTAAGCTAAGTGTTGGCTAGAGTGTGAGCTTTTTATACTTATTTTGTTTTTCCGATGGCAACATTATGTTCATAGCTATGTGCTATCCGGACCATGAGCATAAAATAATTCTTAGTACAAGAAAGAAAAATTTAATCTCATCATTATTACTTAATTGCTCAAGAAAAGTTCTTGCCTCCTTAATAATTAATAAATCGAAACTTAAGGAGGAGCTAAGAAATGCTTATGAACTCGTTATCTCTCCATATTGTTTTTTATCTATATCAAAATAGACTTCTAAGAATTTCCTAAAAAAATGAAAATGATATCCAAGACACAATAACGATAACGGTGATCCACTAATGCATTGTTCTTGACAATCCTATTAAATGATACTATTATCGTTACCAAGCATGAATTCTTTATTGATGTATCTCCTTATTTGAGAGTTGCCTTCCTACCATTCTGAAAAAGGAACGAAAGTTAATATATTTAGATAATTTTTTCAATATAAATTAGTATATGATAAGGCATCCGACAAAACTCTTTAAGGGCTACTCGTTGGTCAAGCAAGTTCCTCACTTATACTTAACTAATTTTTTAGTAAATCATATTGTCACAAAAAGTGATGGCCACAACATGTTATGACAAATCTATACACTTGACTAATTTTTTAACAAAAAATCTGAAAAAAAAAAAAAAAGGCTATGCTAGCTAGCACACTGCGGGGGGGGGGGGAATGCGATAAAAAAAGCCACACATTGCTTAGAATCTAGAAACTTGATTCAAAAATTAACAAGTTGATTGTGATAGAAAACTCATCAATTGCCATTTTCAAGGTGAAAATATACACGAAAAATTTAATTTTAACTCCTTTAGTGATTCGGGCCTTATAAGGAAAATATATATACATATATAGATTATTGTATTATTAGTTGAACAATGAGGCTCATGACAAGTCCGCAAGTATTAATATGCATTAGAAGGCTTACATTAAACCTATCGTATGTTGCATTTATTTTTTATATGTCAAAAGATTCACGACAAGTCTATCATAATCATTGTTAGATTATTATTATTTTTTTCTAATTTTATCTTTCTCTATTTCATTGTATATGATTGCACAAACATTTTTGTTGACAAGTCTATCCATGCAGGAGGTTAATATATGCTGAATTATTTTCTAAAATTAACATAACTTAGCTAATTTTATTATATACTAATCTATATTATTTTTTCTTTTGGTTTTGATATGAGTCCAAGCTACACAATAAATAAATTAGGCTGAAGATGGAAGTCACTCAATCTAGAGTCTTATGTTGTAAGGGTAGATATGGGTATTCTAGCAAATTCAGTTTTTATGTCTTGTCTTTATGATGTATTAAGAATAATAGCCTGATGGGCTTGAAGTAGGATTTATTGAAAAAAGACTCAATTGTTACTTGAATTTTTAAGCAAAATTGCACTTGGAGTGGGCACTTTCGTAGGCGTCCATCATGTTACCAGGCTTAAAATAGTCATTTATGGATGATCAAGGTTCCAATTTGCACCAAATCAAATAAATGGCTATTAATGAAACACCTTCGAACTTTGCAAATATGTAGCCCATAAAATTATAACAATACAGAGAATCAGAGATAGAACTATAGTCTCTGCCTCTGGAGGGGAGCCGCGTGACAATCAAAGGTTGGGGCCAGCAATTGTCCACGCCAAAGAGCCAATCTATCCCCATCTTCTTGCAAACCTTCCCCAATCAGTGACCACACCTCCTTATCTTCGTTTACTACTGAACTAGTGTAAGATAACTGAAACCAAAAACAAGAAAAACTTTTAACACATTGGTTGCTATTGTTGTTTCCCTATCCTTATCGAAATGGCTTACATCTCTCTCCCTAAACACTCTCTACCCTCTCTACTTCCCACTCATAAACCCAAAACAACATCTTCTCAAAACCTCCCAATTTTGTCCAAGTCATTACAGTCACAGTTCTATGGCCTCAAGTTCTCCCATTCTAGTTCTCTTTCAACCCCATCTCCTTCTTCGTCAGTGAAGACTACCATTTTTGCCAAGGTACATTTTGGATTACAATGAAAACTATATGCTTTAAAGCATTCATTTGTTGATTGATTGGTTATTTATTGGTGCCTTTATTTTTAAGGTAAACAAAGGACAGGAACCACCATCCTTCACATTGAAAGATCAGGATGGGAAGACTGTGTCCCTCTCCAGATTCAAGGGGAAGCCTGTGGTTGTCTACTTTTACCCTGCTGATGAAACCCCTGGCTGCACCAAACAGGTAATTAAATATCTCTTGCTTCAAAAGCTTTCAGTTTTATTCAGGGGTTGGCTGCCGAGCCAGATAAGATAAAGTAGGCAAGAGTAAGGGAAATAATTGCATTTGAGTATCATCACAAGCGGTCATTGTGAGTTTGATTTCTAGGACTGCCACTTGACCAAGAGAATCTGCAACTTTTTTCCATAACATTTATGAAAACCTGTTCAGCAGCCACTGCCCAGTAAGTTCGGTGATCAATTTGAATAGTTTAGAAGGCACTATCTATTAATTAATTTGCAATTTTTTGTGTGTGTCTGGCTCTTCAATGACTTAAAAGGTCATTGTTAATGCAGAAAGGTTTTGTTTAGGAGTTTTGACTAAGAAAGAAAACAACTAGTTACCATTACGAGAAGAAATCTAGATTGGAATGTTCATCATGTCTAGGTAGTGAATATATATACTTAAAATGAGGTATTTTTGCAGGCCTGTGCTTTTAGAGATTCTTATGAGAAGTTCAAGAAAGCAGGCGCTGAGGTTGTTGGAATTAGTGGTGATGATTCATCATCGCACAAGGTAAAACCAAGCTTCTTTTCTATCTCAGAGCAGGTTAATAATAAAATTATACTCCTATTTCCCATTTCAACACTCATAGGGTTGACACAGTTACTGAGAAAATTAATGCTAGTGCGGCAAAATTAGATTCTCTGTATGATTTTACTCGCGGTTCGACAGTTCTTTATTAATCAATCTGAATTAGTTGTGGGTGTTAATTTATTATATGGAATGCCAAATGCATCTGTGAGTTCTGCAATTTCAAAGTGCAGAACAAATGTCAGTTAGAGTGAGATTGGGCTAACAAATACTGCAATATTTATAGGCATTTGCCAAAAAATACAGACTTCCATTTACATTGCTGAGCGACGAAGGTAACAAGATAAGGAAAGAGTGGGGAGTGCCAGCAGACCTGTTCGGAACATTACCTGGGAGACAGACATATGTTCTGGACAAGAAAGGGGTGGTCCGACTTATCTACAACAATCAGTTCCAACCGGAAAAGCATATTGATGAAACTCTGAAACTACTTCAAAGCCTTTGAGCCATCCATTCCACGTTGTCTTGCTCTTGTTTCCCTCTTTCCCTAGTTAATCTATTTCTTGAAGGTATGAAATTCTCGTTGTATCCAGTCCCTTGTAATTGCTAGCTATGATCTGGGTTTGGATCCTTTCTTTCATGTAATTGAAATACTGTTTTTTTTTTTCCCTTCTCATTTTATATAAACAACTGCTGAAATGCCGGTTGTCATAGTATAATGGAAATTATATATAGGTTCAATTGTTGGGCCAAACCTTTCAAAGTTTTGCAGGTTATCTTCTGTGAACCACAAATAGGAAGGACGACAATGGCTGAGGTCAATCCACTCAATGTTCATGTGATTTGCAAATGCCCACTTCAAATGATTTTTTTTTCTTTTTCATTTTTTAAATCCGAATGCAGAGGACTAGTTTTTCAAATGTGCACCTTAAAATGGTTCTGGTCTAGTATAATGCGTCTTCTGTTTCTGACTTTAAGGGCGAATAGCTTATTTTTAGTTAACAAGTCCGCAATCGTTATGACCAAATTTCTAGGCAATTCATGAAGCAAAAGGTTCTCTTTTACTTGAAAATCTTTTTGGGTGAAACAATTCAAAGGTAAGCCACAGGTTAATGAAGATGTAAATACAAAGATCCTTTCATACACAAATATTTTTTCTGTAGCAATTTCACTTTCTGCGTTGTGAAAACTCTCATTATTAACTACATAATGAAGTGCAAAATTGAGCTCATTATACCTAGACAGAATGATGCTTTTTTGGACAAAATCTTTCCCTTGTCGCTGGCCTCTCAAAAGAAAGTCTCTGGCATGTTAGCCATCTGCAAGATGCGTAGCCTTCAATGACGTTCATAGAGGAAACACGACTATAAACTCGGACGATGCATGCCTCTTCAAATCTCATTACAGTAGAGTCAATCGTTGCATTTCAGCACTTCATGTTGAGGTGGGCTCCCCCTCAGTGGGGCCCAAAACTTGGTCATCATGTAAAAGGCAAAAGGCAAAATTGGTCATCGTGTCTGAGGGAGGGAGGAAGGGATGGAATTTGAAAAAAAAACAAGTTGGTAGCATTAGGCACGGCCATATATAACATAGAAATCACACTTGGAAGGGGTGGACAATTAGCAAAAGCTACAGGTACTGTAGCTTTAACTGATTGCAAAAGAGAGGAAATCGACCACATTAAAATTACTTTATGAAGAGGTTCGTTTAATATCCAAATATGATCTAGGTACTGTGTGTCAATATCAAGACAAAAAAATACGGATATAGTCGAATGGTAAAATTTCTCTTTGGCAAGGAGAAGACGCGGGTTCGATTCCCGCTATCCGTCCAAGGAAATTTATTTAATAGGATAAAGGATTCAGTATAATTAACCATAAACCCTAAATTTTTACGTGAAAACCTCGATGGAGGGAAAACCATAAGATTGTAATCCGTTTAAATTCTTCTACTATATCAAATAATGAGATATATAATTCTTTCCTAAGCTCAACTAGAGGATACATATCAAAGTATCAAAGTCATCGTCACATAGATGGATTCCAACCATAACAACAAAGACATGGACTATATCTCACCAAATGGATTTTCCAAAAGTACCCATAGGTAGAAGCTTTTTAATGATCTACACCATTCAAGTTGGAAAGCTCGTTATCGAGAATAATATATTAAATGTTTATCTTCATTGAGTTTAAAATTATCATCCGATCAAGGCTTCAAAGAAGAAGAACGCATTCTCTCTCTCTCTCTCTCTCTCTCTCTCTCTCTCTCTCTCTCTCTCTCTCTCTCTTTGTGTGTGTGTGTGTGTGTGTGTGTGTGTGTGTGAAAGAAAAAAGAAACAAGATACCCCGAAATAAATAATTGTTTCAATGGAACCTTTTCTTTTCCCGCAATTAGACATTTATACAATATCCAAGTGATTTATTTCTTTCTATTCCTTATTATCTTTATTTATTACTATTAACAAATCACATGTAAATGTAAGAAATCACAAGACCATCGACGGATAGAGGGGGAGATAGAGAGAGTTCTTCTTTTTTAAAGCCTTGATTAGATGATAATTTAAACTCAATTAAGATAAAATTTTAATATATTATTCTCGATAACGAGCTTCTTGAATGGTGTAGATCATTAAAAAGCTTATACCTTTAGGGACTTTCAAAAAATCCATTTGGTGAGATATTGTCCATTTCTTTATTGTTATGTTTGGAATCCATCTATGTGATGATGAATTTGATACTTTGATATGTATCCTCTAATTGAGCTTAGGGAAGAATTATATATCTCATTATTTGATATAGTAGAAGAATTTAAGTGGATTACAATCTTATGGTTTTCCCTACATCAAGATTTTCACGTAAAATTTTTTGAATTGCATGTTCTTGTATTTGTTTATTTTGCATTAATTATTATTGATTGGTTGATTTCTAATTTTAATTGCACAAAGAGAGAAAAAAAAAGGGATTTATGGTTTGTAATTTTGACTTAGGTAGGTGCTTTTTTTCAAAAGAGTGGTATCAAAACTTCAAAATGTGTAGATTGCTTGTTGCCTTGTGCTATTAAAATGAAGAAGGAAGATTTAGGTATGATAAAACTCATTTCGTTTAATTATTTCATATGCTAGACATTGATGAAGGATTACTTTTACTATAATGATTTGGTTTTACTACTTGAATGCAAAGAAAAGAAGCTTACCGGTATGGATGAGGCTAAATAGAAGTTAATTAACATAAAGTGTTTTCTAAATCCATCAATCATAACTCTCAAAAACATGACTTCTATAAAATTTAGAAGTTATTGAAAGAAACTTTTACTAAAAAGAGTGTACAAAATAAGGCTTTTGTGGTCGGCGACCTAATAAACTCGAAGTACAAAGATAGTAAAGATGCTTCGAGTGCATTTAAATAACTTTCAAAGGTTATTAAATTAATGGACATTGATGAATCCTGAGTTAACCGATGAGATAAAAGTACAAAGATAGTGAAGATGCTTCAATGCATTTAAATAATTTTTTAGATAATTAAGAGACTCTAGTCATGTCCCTTAGCAACTTTATTTAGAATGAAAGATTACCTTTACTATAATGATTTAGTTTTGTTGCTTGAATGTAAAGAAAAGAAGCTTGTTGATATGGATGAGGCTAAATAGAAGCCAATTAACACAAAAGCTATGGCTATCGTTAGAAAGTAGGTTTCTTCTAAATCCATCAATCATAACTCTCGAAACATGACTTCTATAAAAATTTAGAAGTTGCTAGAAGAAACTTTTACTAAAGAGAGTGCATAAAACAAGGCTTTCATGATCAACAACCTTGTAAAGTATAAAGATAACAAAGATGCTTCGAGTGCATTTAAATAACTTTCAAGGGTTCTTGAATCAATGGACATTGATGAATCTTGAGTTAGTCGACAAGATACAAGTACAAAGATAGTAAAGATGCTTTAGTGCATTTAAATAATTTTTTAGATAGTTGAGACTCTAGTCGTGTCACTTAGCAACTCTATTTTAAATGGACAAATCACTTTGAAAAGGGTGAAGGACAATATTCTTAATGAAAAGAAAAGAAGAAAATGATTAAATACTTTAGAATCCCATGCACATGTTATAGAAAACTAGGGGAGAAGTTATAATATATTCTTTTGCAATAAGTAAGATAATTAATTCATTGATAGAAAAAGGCGGATCAAAGTTTAGAGGAAAAACTCAATCAAGAAAGGGAATAAAGTGTTATTATTATGAAAAACTTAGACGAATCTAAAAGGATTACAAAAAGTATAAGAAACATTAGAGAGATAGAGCTAAATATAAGAATAAAGAGAATGATACAACCGTAGTTGTTTATGCCGATGATGTTAAAGAGTAATTTAAAACTATTTTTGAGACCTCACCTAATAGTTTAGGTTGAGATGGTTCTTTGATATGTGTTAGAGAGTAATATAAAATAATTTTTTTGGACTCACTTAATAGCTTAAAATTTTGGATTGAGATGGTCTTTTGACGTGGTATTAGAGCCTTAATGATCAAACGATCGCATGTTTGAATCTCACCACTCCTATTTTTCTTCTCATTAATTAAGTATAAGGTAGTATGGGCATGTGTAAGTTTCAAGACCAAAGAGCTTTCATTTAAGGGGCTATGTTAAAGAGCAATAAAAAACCAGTTCTAAAGTCTAACCTAATAGCTATGCTATTGAGTTGAGATAGTTCTTTAACATATGATGTTGTTATTGTTTGTGATGATGGTTGTATAAATTTTACTTATCAAGATACCACTTGGGTTGATGATTTAACTACTTCTTACCATGTTACATCTTTATAGGATTTCTTCACATCCTATACTAGTATAGACTTTGGTCGTGCTAGGATGGGAGATAAGGAAAGATTAGTACTTGTGGGCATTGAAGATATTTGATTAGAAACCAATACTCGGATGTAATTTACTACTTAAGAATACTAGGCATGTGCTAAATATACACTTACACTTGATCTCTATAGGCACACTTGATGAAAAAGACTATCATAATTTCTTTGAAGACGATATATGGAAAATATTTAAAGGTTCTTTTATTGTTGTTAAAGAAAAGAAGATGGGTCTCTACATGTCATAAGCTAATGTGATTAATTGAGAGGTGAATGTCATTGAAGATGCCTTTACTGATTTGTGGCTTAAATAGCTTAGACATCCGAGAGGGAAAATCCTTAGTATCCTTATCGGGAAGAACCTCATTCCTTTAAAATATATGAAATTGAACACTTACACTCATTGTTTAGCTTAAAAACAACATAGAGTGGCATTTCATAAATCATCTCTATATAAGAAACCTCATATTCTTGATTTAGTTCATATTAATGCTTGTTCTATGAGTGACAAGTCTCTTAGAGATACTTTGTATTTTGTTAGTTTTATTGATATCATTCTATGAAAATTTAGGCTATTTGTTTGAAATCTAAAAATCAAGTGCTTGATGTTTTTAAGGATTTTCATGCCGAGTGAAAGAAAAACTAG